CACTTAGCACTATCTTCTGTAATGTACTGTTTTTCCACACACATAGCCCAAAGCTTTTGAAAAACCCACCACATCACTAGTAGTAACCCCCACCGATTCTGGGTTCAATAGAGCACCAGTGCTTATAGAAGGAGACTTTATAAGGGTCCCTATAAGTAGCTTGTTTGTGCATATAGAAGCCTGGAATAGCAGGGATTGCTCCACGGTGTGTATTTTTTTGGGGGGGTATAGTTTATTGGTGCTAGACATTTCTTCCAAGTCGGTAGGCTGCTGTCGCTGCTCGACCCCACTTTCGAACCCCTCCGACGGTCTTTTCTGTACTTCGATGGTGTTTTTCCGCCCACTTTTCTGTACGCTTCTCTCGCATGGATCGGCTTGACTTGTTCATTTTTAAGATCTTTTCTTGTACCAATAAAACCACTGGCCCACTTGTTACGTGCTTGGGGTGTCCTTTCCCGTGCATACCGCCCATGAAAACAGTAGAAGCTTGGCTGCCCGGCGGGCCGAGAACAGGCCTCGGGCTTGCCGAGGAGACTTGGTAGCTATCAGCCAGCGGAGCTGTGCCGTGCGGACGAAGGAAGAGGCCGCCTGGAGGTGACAGAAGCAGCCGCTGGGACGAAGCACGCGCCTCCGATGCGGTGGGACCGCCGTTGGCTACGAAGGAATTGTGGTCCTGCGAAATCTGCCTCTACTCAGTGGTAGCCTGTTCCCATCTTTTCCACTTTGGGCTCAACCACGCTTGGCTGGGGAAGTGGTCTTTTTTTTTCCTTTCCTGCTTGGCTTCTGTCCAGCCCGCTGTTCGAAAAGCGGGGATGCATGGTGGTGGCAGCATCCGTTCTTCAAACATAATGCTGCGGTCTGGTTGCAGAGGAAAGCTTGGTCCGACCGAATGTTCAGCGCACGGCACACACACAGACGGATGAGGCTTCTGCTCTGGCTTGGTTTTTGCAAGGATGAGACATTATTCCTGCTCTCGTCACAACAGGTGTAGAGCTTTCCCTCTGTCATTATTCATGTCTTGATCTTCCTGATCCCCCTTCCCTGGTTTGGTCCCGAAGGAGAATGCCAGAGTACCCCTGTTTCCTCCTCAAAGGGCTGAGGCAGCTCCAGAAAGCTGATGAAGTTGAATACAGCTCTCCTCTCTGGTGCTGTTTCAACCGAGAAGCCGAGCCGCTTGGGGATACCCCAAGAAGTGTGTGGAATGACGCACAACGTGGAGAGAGAGAGGAGGTGAATGATGTTTTTGCAGGATGCTAGAAGCTGGGGTGGGTGGGTGGTCAGCTAAAGCTGGGAGATGATTAAAAGGAAAGCCTGCATGGGATGACTGCTTAGCCTGTGGAATTCACTGCCACAAGATGTGCCAGCTGCCCACTTGGATCACTTTAAAATGGTGTGTGTGTGTGAATATCTTTATGCAGGGTGAGACTTTGCTCCCAAAGACACCCGCATGGCACTTGATGCAAAATGACGAACTGGGTAAAAGGTTTGGTCTGATCCTGCGTGGCCCTTTGGAAAGGCTAGGATTCCTAGCTTGCCAATTCAGAAGGCGGAATCCCACCAATATATATATATATAGAGAGAGGAATCTAGAGTTTCGGTTCTGGCACATCTTGGCTTTACAAAAATATAAAACGAAACACCAGAGGTCTTAATCTGGAAACTTGGAAATATGGTGGCTGGGCATCCTTTCATCTTGGGCGGGTGCCCGAACGCTGCAGGCCTGGATCCTAGCCCCAGCGTGGTTCATGACACTTTGCATCCGGCATGTGCCTGTCGGACTCTCCTCTTAAGATGCCTGGCATTCTGGAGGAGAGCTTCCAAGCAGGTGTTATTTCCCTTCCTCCTTCTCCTCCTCCTCCTCCATGGAGAATTAAATCGGAACGGAGAATTCAGAACCAAGGTCAGCCCCCCCCCCCGGGGATCCTGTCGTCTCTGCAGGCTCTGGATCTCCACGGGCGGGGGCAGGCTCTCTCTGTTTTGTGTTCCTTCGAGCATGCTGCGTGCGCCGCTTCTGGCTGAAAGGGGGGGGGCACAGCCGGTAACGAGGAACCTAGACGAGGCTGGGAATAGTAGAGCATGGGAGGAGGGCCCGTAACCCACACGGTTGTGATCAGAGGCTGTTTGTGCTGCTGCTGCTGCTGTGGAGGACACGGCCACGCTATGAAGCGTTGCACCCTCTTTAGGCTTCATTTAGGAGGCAGCATTTGAATCAAATGTACCCGTCCCAGTACAGCGATTTAACCCCCCCCCTTTTTTCCTCTTTTCCTTCCAGATAAACTGAAGTGCACCAAAGAGGAGCATCTCTGTACGCAGCGCATGTTGGATCAGACCCTGCTTGACCTGAATGACATGTAAAAGGCTCTCCCGGCAAACGGACCAGCCTGCCTTGCCCTTTCTCTCTCTTTCTCTCTCTCTTTGTTTCCCCCTACCCACTCCACTGCCTCTGCCGCCCCCATACACAGCCTCGGGTTTTCTGCCAGGGCCAACTCTTGTCTTTAAGAAGGGGGAGGGAAGAAGAAGAAGAAAAAAAAGAGGAAATGGAGGAAAAGTAAGGCCAATCTCTTTGACCCTCGATGAGGAGACGGGCCAAGGATTACATTCCACATTTTGTTTTGTCGCTGTAGCCTGCCAACTTTCCTCTTTCACAGGGGTCTTCTTGCAAGCCTGGGCCGCCTCCCGTGTGCCCTCGCGAAGGGAAAACCTGCACATGATGCCGTACGGAGGTGTGTCCAAGGTGGACGCTAACCGTGGCACGAGGGGTGGCCTTCCCCCCACATACACACACCTTTATGTCTGGTTGCGGCTGGCGGAAGCATTGTGTGTAACAAAGAAGGCTCGCCACCTTGCTTTTAAGGCCCGCCGTTCACCCCACTCTCACATTGCGGTCTGGTGCGCGCCCCTTGCAGCTCACCGGATTTTTATTTGGGTGGCGGGCATAAGGGGGGGGGAGTGCCTTGTTCCAACTTAACAGATGATGGAAGGGTCATAAACGTCCTGGCCTGGCCGAACAAGACCCCCCCTCTCAATAAGGGGAATTCACCAAACAGATCCCTTTTTATATCTCCTTGATTCGAGTCTAGATGTTGCTGCCGGCGAGGGTGGATTTGGGGACGCGAGGGTGCGTTTCTTTGCCAAAAACAAAAAAATATGGTGCAGCCTTAGCACATTCTCACGCGCGGGTGATTTTTTATCACGATTTCTAGTCCGGGAGGAAGGTAACCGCAGTGTCAAAAGTGATCCGTTTTCTATAAATACACTTTTTAACGGTTCTTGTTCAGTACCTGCTCTCTCTTTCTTCCTTTCTCTCTCTCGTTTTCGCACCTTGCTTCGAAGAACTGGCAGCTCCTCCGTTTTGGTCTCGTCCGTGATCCCCGTGGAATCTCTTCCCCTGCCAGGCTTATAACTTGCGTTGTGCTCGGTAAAGCTTTTTTTTTGGTGTCTGAATGTTTTGTGAGGAGAGCAACTTTTGCCATGCAGTTCATGTGGGACGAGAGGGGAAATCTCCTGTCCTTCTCTCACCGGGAGCCTCCTCCTAATTGTCTTAAAAGAGAACAACTGGGCATTTTGACTACGATGTTGCCTCCCGGTGAGATTTCTTTTTTTGCCAAGGTGTCTGCTGTTTATTTTTTTTTCTTTTGTCTGCCTCTCCTCTCGGAGGAGGCGGCGGCGTGTCAACCATAGTGGCTTCTCAGTGGCCATTGTGGAGAAATGAGGAAAGCATATCAAGTGTTTTGATACTAAAAAAAAAATAAATACAAAACTTTTGTCTTTTATTGTCTTTTTTTAAAAATAATAAACAGAAGCATTCCCTCCACCGAGCATCTTGTGATCTTTTTAAAAAAATAATAGGGGCTTGGGTCTTATCAAAACTGGAAACCGTAAAAAGTGGGATCTAAATGAGGAGGATGAAGTGTTTTTATTTGACAGCCACAGAGTATTCTGTTTTCTTGGTTAGGAGTTCGATTCCCCGCCCCCTGTGGAAGAAGAGCCAGCCTGGGTAGCCTTGGGCCAGCTGCACACTCCCAGGGCTCCCCCTAGAGGAAGGGAAGGGTAAAGCACTTCTCATTATTTCCTGCCTAGAAAACCCTGGAAAGAGTCGCCATAAGTCAGAATTAACTTGACAGTACATGATGATGGTGCTGTGGGACTAGGGAGGCAACTTGGCTTTGCTCTCAAGCGCCACAAGGATGTGGCCATTCCCTGGTTAATTGCTATTTAATTCCCCCTGCTCTTCATCCCCAAAACTGCAGAGGTGTCTCACAAGATGAAGGAGCAGGGTACTGGCAAAAGTACAAAAACAGCAGAGGACATTTAAATCATGCTATTAATACATAAATTAAATTAAATGCACATTTGAGTAGGAAGACAGATGTTTGGTTGGCTCAAGCCGTCTCCCTGAACAGATGGGCAATTTCAAAAGTCCCCTCAGTGAACTCAATAGCCCTTCTACTTCTGAGTGGGAAACCCTATCCTAACCTTCCTAAACCAGTTTTTCTCCAGCTTTATTGAGTTACACCTCCCATCATCTCCACCGAGCCTGGAGATG